CCTCTCTCTCTCTCTCTCTCTCTCTCTCTCTCTCTCTCTCTCTCTCTCTCGTGTGTGTAGATTCTCCGTTCACACAAAAGCACTCAAATCAAAACCACCACGAATCCAACCATAGGCCTGCCACTCCAATTCTCATTCAGAACACCCACATAGGTTATAAAACACTCACAGGTGGCAGCCACTGCAGTGAGTGTGATGATATCCCCTGTGCTCTTGGTCGACACAGCTGAGGCCAGTGCAGCAGCAATCTCATCTCTCTTTGCTCCCATACTCTGTGCTATCTCAATGCATTGTGATGCCACCAAAGCAGCGGCAGAAGCCATGGCTGAATCCCTTGGGTTATGGCCGCATTGGTTTGCAGCATTTTCTGCAGAAATTGCTGCCAGTGCTGCTGCCACCCCAGCCACTGACACTGCAGCATGGGCTTCGGCTTTACGTAGCCTCTCTTCCTCCTTTTTCCTTTGCTTCATCTCTTTCAACCATCTCCTTATGGATTCTCCTGGATGGAGTAGGATTTCCTTTGTGGGTATCATGTTGAGCTGCAGATTTAAGGAGTTATGTTATGCAATTTTTTGTTTTTTAAATAATAAACTATTGAAAAGTTCAAAATTTGCAGGTTACTATTTTAGCCAAGGGAAAGTATACAAGGTGGTCGCAATTAATCTTGACTATTGGATGTGAAATTGGGTGGTTGCATTTATTTCATTGACCAAGCTCAAAGTTCAAAAGAAATTTTCTTGAATTTTGTGATACATCCAAGCGATCAGATTTCACATCGGATGGTTGTAAGTAATTGTAACCTCCCTAAACAAAAGATAAATGGTCTCAATGTATACAATTCCACTAGCTAATTGCATGTACATTGTATGAAAATAATTTATATAAATAAACAAATTTAAAAACTAGTAAGGAATTGTTGACAGGATATGTTATTAATATTTAATATTTGAAAATGATCTCTCTCTGTATGGAAGCCTTAATGGCTCCTTAAAAATTAATCAAGTTGCTTATCTGCAATAAATAGCTGCAAGTAGCAATACGAGTAACATATTGTAATTTTTTAAAGAAACAGAAGAGTAAATCAACGGGATGGAAAATCATGTAAAATTATGCTTTTGCGGTGATTGATAGGCATAAAGATGTTTTGGATCAATCATATCAAATCATAAAAGATATTTAAGAATAATCAAATTCGAAGTATATAAAGAAAACAAGAAAATTTGCTTTACTTTACAGTTGAAAACTCAGGCTTAGTCATGTGAGGAGCTAACTTGGCAATAATGGATAGAAACTCGAGATAGGAAGTCACATGAGTCGGTCGAGTCTTAAAAACTCGTCTACTGCCCAAGTCGTTATATTCAACATTCAGAAGTGTTAAAGTAAGCTTAGTGGGTACTAAAAAGAATATGCTTATCTCTACATTTAAAAATGCCCTTGAATTTCTTTAGTTATGCATGATTTATTGGTCATTTGGTTCTAAGAAGTTTAGATGTTGATCCTTAATAATGCACTTAATGTGTCCGGAATATATTCAAGTATTGAATTGTATAAAAGAAAATTCGAGTCATTTTCAGCGAGATAGACATAACATAGATAGCCATTGGATTACCCATCTCTTTCGCAAGCAGCGGTCAAGATTCAGCTCAGGATGGATTGCATGTTGTAGCCATATCCATGTCTTCTCCCCACAAAACACCAATGCCAAGTCAGAAATTCAGTGAATGAGAGAGAGATCTTCTCTGACAAAACTCACGTACCTTTAATTCATCTGAACTCCATGCAGGCATCCTGCGGTTCATGTCCTCATCATTGAAATCCATCTGCCTGTCATCAACCTGTAATGCACTTATTCGCTTGAGAGAGAGAGAGAGATAGAGGTATAAACAAGAAGAGTTTTACTCACTGGAATCTCGGTTTTTAGATGATCAGCAAAATTTTGAACTATGGATTTTTGAAGTTGGTTATGAGGTTGGTGAGAAAATGGCAGCATGGAATTAAAGACTGAAATCGCCGAGTTGCTCCAACAACGGGAAAGAGAATGCCTCAATGTCACTGGGTCAACTGTTTCAGTTGAAACAATTGCATAGGAAGTCATGATATTTAAGTGAGAGAAAGAGTCAAGAGATGAGTCTCACACTATATAGCACTTGAATGTTTCAATGTGAAATGTGATAAGTGGGGAAAGATGAATGGGTGTTTGGACTTTGTAAAATAGTTGGGTTTGAGAGAGAGAGAGAGAGAGAGAGAGAGGT